TTTTGGAGGCTCGTGTGCAAGAACATGTACAGTGCTGTTATCAAGGAAATTGCAACGTTCCACAATAAAATAAAACGAGTCATCCTGAGGACAAAGTGTGAAGCAGCACACGAGAGAGCCGGATCGAAAACCCAGACAATCCCAACACTCTCCCAAAGGAACTCAATGACAAAGATAAATGTGTGGAGGTATATGATCCACTTAATGAAGCGACGTGGTCGAGGGTTAGCAATGGTCCCAGCTCCACTGATAAACATGATTACTAGCTGGACAAGGCAGGATAGGAACTGGATGCACATTAGCGTGTACATGTAGAACTTGAACACACTCTCCTCATAGCATCTGTGCTTACCACTAAAACTAACTAACACACTAGTCATGAGAAACCTAGTAGTTCATAAGACATTTAAAGCTCGCATTATGAGCTATAAATGCATTCACTTACCAGATGAGTTTGAGTAGTAGCGAGAAAAAGTAAGGGAAGACCAAGTCATCGCTCCCTATCCTCCACTTCATGCCAAAAGCAACCAGTGCAGGCATGTCTTTCACTAGCTACTAAAATAAAAGCATCGAGAGTGTTTGGTTGCCACGGAAACGCGAGAAAATTATTAATTAAAACGGCTGAAAAAATAATCATGATTAATAATTTTTTTCATCTTGTGTATTTTTTTCATTTTAAAAAGTTTAATACATACAAAGAGAGAGGCTGAAAAGGAGAAAAAAGATTACACCAACTTGAAGGAACCAGTTCATTATGATAGAATAAGCTCAATGTCAATGATCGTAATCATATTTCTGTCCACCATATAAAAACCGTCTGGAAAAGAAAAAGTATAAAAAGTAACAAAAAATAAATGAAATTAATAACGAGTTACCTCAGTTTATGTGGGATAGGTTTTATGTGCCAAAAATTACAAAAACCACCTCTGCCACATTGACTAATGAGAAGAGAAGAAAGAGATAAGAGTGTAACAAAATACTACGTGGGATGATTTCACATGTAGTCAATTCTAAGAACTATTTTTATAAGATGCTTTAAAATTGCTCATAACTCCAAAATTTGAGCTCAAAATTAACTCAAACTTTCTACATAGCATAAGGTTAATATGTATCAAAAAATGTAATAAAAATTGGGGGTGATTTCGAAGCCATTTTTTGGAAAAAACCATGGGCTATAGCCTTGGGTAATTTTCAGAAATTGGCCTATTTCAAAATTCGGCCATAACTCGAAAAATATTTGTCAGAATCAGCTCAAACTTTCTACATAGCATAAGTACATCAATATGTATCAGAAAATGTAATTAAAAAATGGGGGTCATTTCGGAGCCACTTTTTTGGAAAAAACCATGGGCTATAGCCTTGGGTAATTTTCAGAAATTGGCCTATTTTAAAATTTGGCCATAACTTGAAAAATATTTGTCAGAATCAGCTCAAACTTTCTACATAGCATAAGTACATCAATATGTATCAGAAAATGTAATAAAAATTGGAGGTGATTTTGGAGCTATTTTTCACTAGTCATTCTATATTAGTTGCCTATGGTCACTATTGCTCACCCAACATCAAACTGATGGCAGCACGCCTCCTTAAAGTTAGTAACAGGAGACAGCTCTGCCCTAACAGGCTGAGCATTAAACCATCTGTTGTTTAAGGACTGAACTGCTTTCTCGGCATCTTCTTCAAATCGAAACTGAAGACAAAATGTGCAATTAAATATAAATAATTATTTTAAAAATTAATTAAAACATTGTGCCCACTTGATTTCTAATGGAACTTGGCTCTTACTTTAATGTAAACGTTTCCAATCAAATGGTCACCCAAATTATCGCACACGTGCATCTTCTCAATAGGTCCATACTAACGTAGGTAGGACAAAAAGAATTAAAAAAAAATAAAAATATCCAGAGATGAGGTCATTTTACTACCCACTCATGTTATATCAAAATAAAGTGAAATCATTATTGTTTGTTAAAATTCAATTTTACCATTATTAAATGTATTATTAATTTTATTTATTATACCTTCTCTTCGCACTCGATAAAAACATCTTCAAAGAATTCCTCAAAATGTGACTGTTCCTCTTCAGGGCTGACAGCTAAAGGGAGAGAAAATTTTAGAAATTTGAGAGACGACAAAATAATCAACGTTACTGGTTATTCCTCTCGTAGGATTCTGGTACAAGTTCTGCAACATAACAGTCTAAAAAAAGATCATGTGATACATGTAAATAATCACGTGACTACCTGACTGAATGTCGGCTTGTTGTGTAGGCGTGAACACTGGTCACCATGACGACATGCACCAATCTTGTGATAGAAAGCACAGTTCACCCTAAAAATATATTTAAAAATTGAATTTAGCCTTCATTGCCCTTCTCACTTGTCTTTCTCTGTTCCAAAAATAGATGCCAAGTATTCCGCCATTTTTATTGCACATGTACAAACTATTAATGAATAATATTAATTAGTTTAATACCACACCTATCACCACGCCCATCCTCAAGTCCAGCCCACTTAATCAATTATTCAAAATGGCGTCCAAGGCCGAGTACTTGAAAAAGTATTTATCTCCTGCAGAACCAACTAGCGAGGAGAAAAGAAAAAAGAAAAGAAAAACGAAGAAAGTGAAGAACGTTAGAGTGCACGATGATGATCTGGACTGGAAGAAACTAGCACCAAAAATTGATGAATATGATGACGACGACCCAGGTAAATTTGTTAATTTCATGAAAATATTTTCCCAATGCTTAAAATTTGTTATTAATATAACATTTTTACATGTACAATACCAGTAAAATTATTGTATTAAATTGTGTACACTAGAGAGATGTTGTTTGTTCAAATTTAAAAGCTACATTTTGTATTATGTCTTTGCAGAGGAGGCCCCTGTCGTTATAGACATAACTGGGGATGATCCCGAGACCAATTTCAAGTGGAAGGCAGTCCAACCTGCCAGCCCAGTCAACTTGTCTATTGTTAAAGTAGAAAAGTCACCTTCTCCCTCTCCCTCCCACCCCTCACCTAATCATCAACCAAACAACTCGAGTCAAAAGATTAAAAAGAAAAGAAAAGAGAGAGCTGATTCTCCTGATTTCAGTCCTCCTCGACGTAAAAATTTAAAAGAAGCTGACGATCTTAGCCCCCCTAGAAGGGGGAAATCCCCCAATGACATCAGTCTTCCTAGAAGGAGAAACTCCCCCGGGGATATTAGCCCACCTAGAAAAAGGACAAAGATTCCAGAACCTAATTCAAATTCAAAGCCACGCGGTTCAAAGACAGTACCTCCTAGAACTAAACAGCACTCTCTGTCATCTGACACGAGTCCACCACGTAAACCATCATCAGCCACGCCCAGGTCTCGTCTTGACTCTAGCCAATCGGATTTAAGTTTACCAAGACACTCTCCACCTCCTGTGAAAATGATCCTTGGTTCAAAGAGAGCTGGACTTCAGTCTGGAGATGTGGCCCAGGAGGAGGTTCTCCGTGCTAATGCAGAGAGAGAGAGGTTCATACGGTCCTTAGACCCGTTGGTGTCTGGTAGAAATGCTCCGACTGTGTATAGGAATAAAGAAGGTAAAAGGATTGATCCTAACGCTCCTGAGAACCCACTGACCGAGGAAGAGAGGAAGAAAAAGGAGGAGGATGACCTTCAGTTTGCTCAATGGGGGAGAGGGTAAGAGAGAGAGAAAGATAGAGAATATTAATTAATTTAAAATAAGTTATAATACTTTTTTTCACGCATACAAGATTAGATTAAGAAAATATATAAGTAAATAGTTCTTTTTTATTCTCTCAGTGTTGCTCAGGTCCAGTCAGCTAAAGACAAAGTGGAAGATGACATGTATGAAATGTCAAAGCCACTCGCTCGCTATCGTGATGACGAAGACCTCGAGAAATTCTTGAAGGAGAGGGAGAGAGAAGAGGATCCCATGTTGAAGTTTCTGACGAAAAAGAAAAAGAAAGGAAAGAAAGGGGGCAACCCAAGATTAAGTAAGAAAGAAATTTAAACTTTTATGCATTATCTTTTCTCTTTTAATTCAGATAGACCCACATTCAAAGGCTCCTGGCCACAGAACAGGTTTGGTATCCCGCCGGGGTACCGTTGGGATGGGGTCGATCGGTCTAATGGCTACGAGAACAAACGCTACTTACTTAAAGCAGAAAAAGAATCGATTAAAGAGTTTGCTTATAAATGGAGTGTAGAGGAAATGTGATTGTGACAAGTAATTTATGTTGAATTCCCTCTCTTTCTCTCTCTCTCCTCTCTTTTTAAATAATTATCATCTCTTCATTGACTGTTTTTCTATTAATACTGAACTTAACGCAAACCATAAAAAAAAGCAGAGAATACCCACCTCATAACAGTGCTATAAGTTTTACTGTAGTTGACTCCACAATAAAGTGTTATTTTATAATTTATAATACTGGCAAACAGAAAATACAGAAAATATACAATTACTTTTCATTAAACTGTACACGATTTTATGATACAGGAATAACAATAATAATGGTGTTTTTGAAATTCAGCTAGTTTTTCCTGTCTCCTGCTCCTCCTACTTCAGAGTAAAGTGGTTGCTCAGTGCTTCCATTGTTATTGTTATCTGTAGGAACCGGTGGCAAGGGACCTGATGGAGAATAAGACGAGGGCCTAGCAGTTGTTGGATTCAATGTGAAGTAATGATGGCCTACATTTGTAGAGGAAGCAGGTCTGACCGGTCGGATTGGCTCATAATACTCATCTTCATCTGTCTCGTTATCTGATGACGGAGACCTTTTAGTCTTCACTGGCTCCGAATAAGGACTTGGAGTTACATTCAAAGAGAGGGCTGAGCTTTTAGGGGGCGTGGTCCCCCTGATACTCACAGGATCTGAGTATGGGCTAGGAACCCCAAGACTATTTGTAGGGGAGGTACTCGGAGATGTGGGCGGGGTTTTCTTGGAGCTGATTGGCTGTGAGTAAGGATTTGGTGGTCGAAGAGTGGCAACGCCGTTCCTTGTGTTAATGGTTTTTACTGGTTTTGTGTATGATGGATTCGGTTGGCATGGGATTGTAGTGTACTTCGGTTTTGCATGCTTCGGAGAGCTCAGTGGTGAACTATATGTTTCGGTCTCGATCGGTGACATGCTTTTAGTAGCAGGACTCCCTTTTGGTGGTAAAACGGTCGAATATGGTTCGTCAGCCTCTGTCATGTGTCCAATTGAGACTGAGGGCACCTCGTAATTTTGAGGGGGCAAGGGAGGGAGCTTTCCTCCATTTTTTCTGTACTCCTCCAGTGAATCTATTGGTACAGCATATGGCTGCAGATCACTGGATGAAGGAGGAGGAGGAGGAGGAGGAGGCTTGAGATCAATGGATTTTTTATTTCTCCTAAAGAAGGATATAGAGTTTAACAATGATTGCATACACAGTCATTATGATTTCCTGAATAGCATATTTGCATATGACTACAGCACAAGTATATATGCATGACTCAAGTTATTTTATTTTGCCTCGAAAAGGACCGCATTATAATTTAGGTTCACTAATCATCTTTATTTGTGGACGTGTGAAAGCATGCTTATCAAATTGGAATCACCCGTAAAGGCCTTATGCAGCTCAACTCAACGTAAACAAATTCTTTGAAATGCAGCAACAGAAACCCCATTGACTATCTGTGTGCATGTGTACATGGCTCTCAGACTAATTTCATTAAACAATGTACATAAACCTGCACTCCCTTCCGCTGTCATACTTCTCTACTGAGCTCTCTCTCTCTTACCTTTTTATTAGTACTGCTAGTATTATACCAGTAACTATTACTAATCCTAATATTAGTGCTATTCCACCTCCAGCACCAGCTATTGATCCTATCAGCACTGCATTAGTTGAACTGGATCCTATTTATGCACATCAAGTGTGTGTGTGTGTTGATTATAAGTTCATTGTGTAAAAACAGTACTTGATTATTATTACCTGGATTTGTTGGTGTTGTTATCTGTATTGAAGTTGGTGATGCAGAAATACTAGTTATAGACACTGAAGGTTTAGCACTTGATGAAGTGTCTGAGTAAATGATAATGATAACAGTAAGAATAATAGTAATGATGATACTGATAATGATAAGGGAGTTCATTAAATTACTATATGGGATGTAATGTATTCATTTTAAATTTTTCATGATACCTTGTTCTTGTAGGATCAATTGAGGTCCTTTCAAAAGATCATTAAAAGATCTGGTTGTGTATTGATTCATTGCCGAGACTGATACCAAGTACTCTATACCTTTACTGATGCCAGTGATAATAGCACTGGTATCATAGAATATCTGCATACAAGTAGAGAGAGAATACAAATCACATAATTTGATGGCATACTTTTCCATTTTCATATTCTTCTAATTTAGTTTCAAGTCCTTCTTTTGTGTTAAGGAAGACTCGATAAGTGAGAGGAGGCAGAGAGAAGTATGAGTTATAGCATTCATCAGGTAATTCTGGTTTGCTCCATGTTAAGTTTATTGATATATATTCATTAGATTCATCAGTTACTGTGTAGCTGGTGATGTGTGGACGATTAGTAATGTTAGAGAGATCAGGAGACAAGCATTGAAATCCTACAAATTATGAAAAAACAATGTACACAATGTCCTCTCTCTTTCTCTCTCTTTTTACTTGGAATTGGTTGTGTTCCAGGGCTGGTTGTCAATATGTATCTTAGCATTTCATTTTCATCAACTCCCAAAAATCCCTCATCAGTCCCAATTGCATTATTAAATGTATAGAAAGTCAATGGAAACTCTACATCTTGATTTCTGTTATCTCTTGCTATCAAGTATATGCCAGTGTCGTCTACAGCAATCCTTGAATCTGGTCTCACTATTAGGATGGTAATCAGTATCATTGTTTACGCTTAACACATACAAGTTACTTGCCTGTTTTTGTTATAGGATATACAAAAGAGCAATTATCATTATCCAGGCCATTTATTGTGTTTATTGAAACTATGTTGTTTCTGACAGTATCACCCTCTTTCATGAAATACAGGCAATTACTACTAACATCTTCAGTTAGCGTCTGAACATGTGTGCTGTTAACCACAACACTACTATTGTTTCTTAGATTAAAACGAACTATATCTGTGCCAGCAATAAAATGAAGGAACCTAGCATGAGTGTATTGAGTGATAGCAATGAACTGATAATCAGTGTTACACTTACCCAGTGAATGGATTAACTGTCATCTCTACAGGAGTACTCATTGTCGATTCATATATAATGCTCCATTTACCATCGCTTATCCTCACTCTTAGTAATACTAATGAATCCTCATCTTTATTCCCGCCTATATAAAGGACGTCTCCGACCCAGTCATATGCTAACGAATGTACAGTAATGCCAAGACCTTCTCCTTCAAAAACCTGGAAAGGGAAAGGCATTAGTGAGATTGCCTCTAACTTTCATTTTTTTACTATTTGTGGTGGCTCGTTATTGTTAAGCCATATTCTCTTTATGTTGTTGTCATCATTATAATATATTATTCTTCTTGTTTTATCTATAGCAATAGGAGACGTGGTATGAAAAGTTCCTTCACGCTGGCTGTTGCCCTGTATTAGGTAACTGCTTCCATCAGTAAAGAGTGCATACAACTCTTTAGCAGGTTTAGCATCTATTGAGTAGTATAGAGGTCACAAGTCTAATGTAATAAAACTTACATGATGTGTTTAATTCTATTGGTTCAGAAAAGGGTAGAGCTTCCCCAGACTCCAGTACACCTTGTATCTATGGGAAAAACCACAGACCATTAAGTAAACTCACCTAATTGCTCAAGCATGCACTAATTCAAATTGAATTATGCAGGAACTGTAACACAACTCACCTGTAGTGTATACAGAGCATTAGTTGATAGTGGAAAGTCTAGAATTTCAATGAAGCTATGAAGTTTTATAAATGTGTCATATTTGCTGACGATAAAAAAGGTCTCCTACAATGAAGGAAGTACAATAATTACCATGATCATATTTATTTTAGTTATCATGGTTTACTCACATTAAAATCTTTACTTGGAATACCTGCATCATATAGTGTCAAAATGCTAATATTATAATATTTGATTGAAACATCTGAAGTTTCACTTAAGTTTTTCCACACAACAGTCGCAGATATTATTGAGTTGTCATTAACGAATGGATAGAATACATGTGCTCTGACTCCCTCTACAGCATGTTGCCTGCTCTGATCTAGAACAATAGAATCATGCATGCTGAGAGTACATTTAACAATTTAATTATTTACCTTGCGTTGTGAATGTTGTGTCGCATAATAATTTTGTAGATGGAAGTGACAAAACCGGTGATGTAGTGGTTGATATTTCGACTATATTTATTTTGTATGTTGTGGCAGGCATTAGTCCTTTCAGTAGCAATCCATTTATTGTAGTCCTGACCTACATACATCATGACAATTAATATGATACTTTGTACTTGATCAAATTAAAATACTATAATGTTCATGGGCAGTTAAGAAAAGTTAATGTACCTGGCGTTTGTTTAGATTAGAATTTGTTTCAGTGTAGTAGGTAACTCTATATGTGATGCTAGTGCCTTCTCTACTTTCACTGTCCCACTTGACTGCCACTGTAGTATTGGAAAGGTCAATGATTGTTAGGTTTTGATTGCAGTACTGCATAAAGAATAGGAAAAAAACAATAGCTTTAAGTTGCTTCAATGTACATAATAATTATTTCATGCATGTATGCTGATCTTATTATGCATTATCTTCAATAGAAATCATGTAATCATCGTAGAGGATGCATTGTGCCCAAATATCATGCGACGTAATGTTATTAAGACAACACACTCAGATTATAGCCAAAAGGGAAGCACAATTTTTATTATTAACCTAGCTATTAGTAACAAACTATTATGATTACACTTGATGTGTGATGTGTGTGACTACATCAGTAATGCAAGTATGCAACATAACACAAACAACACAAATTCAGCATCACCCAAACTTTTAGGTAATCATAATAGAATGGCCTCTGTGTTTACTAGACTACTCCAATATGAATATCCCTTTACTATGATGCTTTGGGTGTAGCTGCATTATAATTAATATAACTTGCCAACTCAAGTAAATTCACAATTTAACAGATTTATATTCAGCTATTGTAATAATAGCTTTTTAGTTGTACAATACAATTGCTATATAGGTGCTGTTGTCTCAATTCATAGTAAGACACTGGTGAGAATCTGCTCCATAGTGTATTCTAATTCAAGGCTTCCTCTATAGATCTCATGCAGCCCTGATTTTGTTTGGACTGTTTTTGTACTGTTAATTTACTAATATAGCAGTTATTGTTAATAAATAGAAATGCATACTGGTAATAATACATTACATTTATTGATCATGAATTATGCTAGTAGCTACATTAAAGTATCAAACTAAACAGCATAATACTACTTACTGCTGACTCTGTACTGGCCAAAGCTGCAGATAACAGTAGGAGCAAAAGGTTTATGACCATGATTGATGACTTCAGTTACTGGTTTCTCTACTTCTTGTGAGTTGTGACAGTAAAGTTGTGGCTTTCTATGGTTGTTATATGATCAGTCTATTAATAAACCATAACATCCTGTCACGAGGATTGCTATGATCAAAGATAATTCACGTGACTTTTAAATTTAAAGCAAGTGCTTTGGGGCAATATTAAGTTGTTTGTGGCAAAAGAAATGCTCAAGTTTGCAAACACAGCTATTAATCATTGATCATACGTGGTTATTATTATTATTTTCGCGGAACCCAAGAGATCGATTCAAAATTTCATTTGTATGTCCGAATTATTAAAATTTGCATATGCGGTAGATTGCCGCGGGTAAAGGCGGGAAAATAATAAATCATTAATAAACTTTAATTTAATATTATTATTGCATTGTGAGGTTTGCATTGGAATGCAGTTCATGTGTAACTAATTTGCCTCCTCCTCCTTTCTCTGTATAATTTGCTTACCTCAAGTCTCTGTCACCTCTTCCCATATCTCTTTATAATAACCGTGCGGCCTCTCTCCCTTTCTGTTTCTTGTGGAACTCTCACTCTCCCTATCAAATCGGTCTATTTGTTTCGTAACAACCACTGACCCTCCTTCCTGTTGTTAACCTGGTGGAATTTGCTCGAGGAACCATAGACTATCATTTTACCTTCTCTCCTTCCACTGGGGGCAGTCTCTGTCTCAAAATCCCTCTCTCTCTCCCTCTTTCTCTCTATATATATTTATTGCGACTAGAAGAAGAGAGAAACACTTGTGTGTGAAAGTTTTTTTTTGTAAAGCCCAGGGGCCATTTCCATTGTGAAGTTGAAGGAGACTCTTATTATAAGTGGTAAGTCTTTGTATATACAGCTTTTATGTGGCCCTGCAGGGAGAATGGGATTAGTTATTTGTTTTTGTTTTTCATTTGTATACCCGGCCTGCATGTGTCTAAAAATAAAATCATGATATATATAACATATGTTTTTGTGTGTTCTCTTTTCTTACCCTTCTTCTGTAAGGCTTGAAGAAGATGACATTGTTCAAAGGTGTTGTACTATTGTGCTTCACATTACTGCTCACTCTTGAGGTAAGTAAATGTATAAAAGACAGTCTGTACATTATATGCCAATGGCATGCATATGAATATGGCTGTATAATGTGTATATGTCATTACATAGCTATGTCCTCTCTCTGTGCTATAGCCTCTCTCTCTCTCTGTCTCTCTGTATGTTTTGTTAGTTTTAATTGATAGTATCTGGTACAAGCTCTACGATGTCTGTTTGTTTATTCCTTTGTTTGTTGTTGCTCTGATTAATCATTTTGTGTCATTTGGTGTAATTCTAAACTCCCTTTGTGCCATGTCTTCGTAGCTCTATAAGTGAAGGGGGAGATGGAGAGAGAGAGAGAGAGAGAGAGAGGTGGAGGAGGGGAAAGGAGGGTAGATTTAAGATTATGATATTATTATTGTTTACTGTTGTCCTACAAATTTGGCACTTTCTCTCTCTTTCCTTTTCTCTCCCTCTCTCCTCTCTCTCTCTCTCCCACTCTCCTTCTGTCTGTCTCCCTCTTTATGTAATAATGTCAGCTGACTGGATGACTCTCATCTGTGTGCACACACATTTACCCATTCACACTCATTATACATTTATAGTAGTTGGTTCACTCCATATAAACTGATAGATTGATAAAACAAGGCCCTCACACCTGTCTATACTGCCTAATTGCCTTTATTGCTTATTTGGAAAGTGAGAGAGAGAGAGAGAGAGAAAGAGGAACAGAAGCAAAGATAAGAGAATAAGATTGGGTGAAAGAAGAGAGATCCTATTTAACCAATAGACACATTGATGTAGGGACATTTATAAGCTTTTTTACATACATGTACATGTACATGTACAATTATGTATACTAGCTGGCATGCCACTCTCAGGTGTCATCATTCACATGTGTCCATTTGCGAAGTATTTTCACAAATTGCTTAATATATTGCAAAGCAAGACTCAACAAACAGGGCATAATGTGCTTGATCTGTGTTGCATAACGAGCCATTACTATATATAACACAATAATAATAATGAAGTGATTATGTAAGGTATATGCACACGCATGCACGCACACGCACACACATGCACATGTAAGCTCTATTGCTATTATATGGTTGATTGGTAGCTTTTTTATTATTTTATGCTTTTACATGTTCTGTAATTGCTTTTCTATTGCTTTCTATGTAAGTCATTGTGGTACATGTACATGTACATGGGGCTAGTTACCATATGTTCATTACAGCACAATAGCAGCTGGTGTTGTTCTAAAAGTTGATTAGTTTTAAAATAGAGAGTTTAGGAACATGTGTGTATCTGCCCTCTGTGTGTATGTTTGGTTTGACTATTATGTATATGTATATGTAATGCCTGTGGGCTATGTCATCATATTCTTCCCCTCTCTCTCCCTCTCCTTCCTTCCTTTATGAGTGTATGGTTGTCTAGCTGTTCTATTTGAGGTATAGTGCCAAATTAGAACATCAGACTCTTAATTTAGTCATCCTGTAAGGGAAAGGAGAGAGAGAGAGATGGTTATAGAGAAATTCAAGACTGCTATTACATAGTAGTACTGGAATTTTGTAGTATACAAACATGCAGCCTCGGTAAAGAAGGCAAAAAAAATAAAGCAATATTAATGGCAAAGACAATTATTCTAAGATTTTGACTATTATTTGTGTAACGTGTCATAGTCGTGTTTTGTTTTTGATAGCTTCTCTAAGATAACTCATTATTGTGCTTCGTGTGTGCTTTAAATGAAACAGTTTAATTAATGCAAAAAGACACTGCAATACTTATATGTCTTCCTCTCTCTCCCTCTCCCCCCCTCTCTCTCTCTTTTTTATTAATTTTTAATTTTCAAAGGCTTTTTAAACCTAATTGATATCCTTTGGTTGGAAAGGAACATGTGACACCTTGCAGAAAGGAAGAAGAGAGTGAGAGGGGAATATAAAATGAAGAATGAGAGTTATAGGGAGAGCAGAAGGGGAGAGAGAGGGAGAGGGGAGGAAAAGGGAGATGGAGGAATGAGGACAGGGATAGGGAAGTAGAGGAGGGAAAAGAGAGAAGGAAAAGAGGTAAAGGAGGAGTGCATTTGACAAATCCACAACATGTGTCACATGCCCCACAATTGGTTTAATGGTATTTGGTAGATCATGTCTCACCACATCAGTCTCACCATCTTCCTTTTTCACAGGTGCAGCCTTCATTGTGGCTGAGTCCATTAGCCATTCTTAGATATATGGGATAAGTCATATGCCTGTGGTCTACTGCTATCTGCCCAATTCAGCCTCTTCATTATTCATTTCTTTTGTTCTCTCTCTTTCTCTCTCTCCCTCTCTTTCTCTCTCTTCTCTCTCTCTCTCCCTCTCTTTCTCTCTCTTCTCTCTCTCTCCCTTCCTCTCTTTCTTTCTTTCTCTGCATTAATTTAAAACTAAAGGGCCCATATTATTATTATTATTATTATTATTATTATTATTATATTTTAATTTCTATTTCACAATTTCAACATCTCCTAGCTACATGTATATTGTTTATTTTGTTTGTGATGATAGTCTTGGGTTGTGTTCATGTTTTGTTGTGTTTGTTTGTTTTGGTGTGTGCATGTGTCCATGAGTCCTATAATGACTTCATTCAGTTTCTATTTAAGGAAGTTTTGTGTTCGTTTCTTTAATGCGTTAGTTCCGATTATGCGTAGGTGTCATACATAATATACTGAGTTTTACTGAGTTATACTGATTATATTTACTATTTTTTTACTCTTTTCTTTTTAGTGTGTTCAAGAGGCTCAAGCACAAGGTATGTGTAGTATTCATTTGTTTACCGTATAAGGACAAGAATAATGTTTGATTTTATAAGTTAAAACATTTAGCCGGTTATGTAAAGAATGTATTTAAATGAGAAGCAGCTGTTATTACTACTAGTTTGAATGCTGTGTATTAATTATTAGTGAAGCTATATTTGGTTAATAATGTTAAGTGTATATATACATTGTGCATGTACAATTTAATATTTTCTTAGTCTTTTCTGGAAGAACCATCTGTAGCAGGGCTCCCATGAAGCATGCTTCATGAGCTGACAAGCACTACAATACAGTACATGTACATGGCTTTTGGAGCAACTTTTAAAATTCTTTAAAAATCCAATTTTGATTGGAATCAGCTCAAACTTGCTACATAACATAAGAACATGTATATGTATCAGAAAAAATTATAAAAATGAAGAACTTTTACCTAGTCATCTTTGGTGAAATTTGGCCAAAGACACTGTACTATATAGTACAGGGACTTTGGCCCAATTTTTGTATTTTTAAAACATTTGAGAAAAATTCAATTTTGGTTGGAATTACTGTAGCTCAAACTTGCTATGCAACATAAGAACATGTATATGTATCAGAAAAAAATATAAAAATGGAGAATTCTCTCATTTTCAATTTTGGTGAAATTTGGCTCAAGACGTATTATAGTACAGAGACTTTTGCCCAATTTTTTGAGTAACTTTAAAAATTCAATTTTTTTCAAACTTAGCTCAAAATTTTTATAAAGAACAAAAATATGTATGTGTATTATAAAAATAGAAAATTTCCTCCTTGTAAATGTTTTTTGAGCAACTTTAAAATCCACTGACAAGAACCTACATGAGCACTTTGCCAAAATCTTGTGGGAAACCTTGATCTGTAGTAATGCTCTGTGTTGTGTCTTTATTAATTGAGTTATGAGTCATTAATGAGTTAATTATTAGTTTGTAGTGGATTGTCTGTATTTTAAAAGTGAGGGCAGAGGAGAGAGGGGAATTAGAAAAAAGAGGGAGAGTATGTGTGTGCTTGTGATTATTTTCTTCCTTTTTCCTTTCTTTTCGTCATTTTCAGCTTCACCAGGTGCTCTATTAGTGGCTAACACTGAGAGGATATTCTATATACAAGTTAATGAAGATAATTACATCAGGGACAGTTTAATAACTCAGCCACAGATTACTTTCCTCAATCTCACTTCCAATGTTACTGTGAGAGGTAAATTAGGGATATAAAATTATTACAAAATTACTAGTACTTATATTCTTTTCTTTTTTACAACTTGCCAAATTACATTATAGATATAGACTACCGTTATCCAAGGGAAGAAGTGTATGTATCGTATAGCAATGGAACTATAATGAGATACAATGTTGATATCAATGAATCATCTACTGATATTGATTTAACTCTAGTAGACATTGCAGTGGTATACAGTGGTATTTCGGATAGTTTAAGAGATATAACAGTTGATTGGGTCAATGACATTATTTATTGGATTGTGGTTGGAGATACTTCATCTCAAGTTAGTAGCACAATGCATGTGGTTTTACTACAATTGCTCTTTAATAGTTATATTCAGGATCTCTTGATGGTAGTGCTAGTATAAGAACTGTAGGAGCTTCAATAGATGGAGAAGTAAGAGACATAACTGTTGATCCTGTTCACGGGTAAGATAAATGTAATAAATACAGGAAATACATGATTTTTAATAGGTACATGTATTATGTTCAAGTCAATAGCAGTTTATATCGTGTACCACTGTCCATCATACAATCAGCTACTGGTTCAACTGTATTATCATTATCATCTTATACTATTGTGAATGATAGTAATCTAAACTACTTTGCACTGGAGCTCAGCAGCCTCACTTATTACCTTATTACTGTCAACAGCTTTATATATAAGAATCTTACAGATCATAGCATTATTGATACAAGAATTACTCCATTAACTTCACCAAGCACTACTTACTTAAGTGCAATTTATGTTTATGCTGAACTAGAACCTAATCATTGGGTTATTTTTGTATCTTTTCCATCAACTGGTCAAGCTATTATTGTTCCAATTGGTTCCAGTCAGCCCACTGCTATTAAAATATTAAAGAGAACTCTTCAAACTCTGCCTGGTAAGAATGAGAGAAAAGAGAGCAGAAATAAAGGAAAAGAACATACATGTAATTCAAAATATTTTTAGTTCCTCCATCTGCTCCAACCAATGTAACTGTTTCCATGATAACAAGCTCAAGTGTTAATATCTCATGGTCAACTCTAGTCTTCAGTGATCCCATTTTTGGTATGTTACAGTACTAATAGTATACAATGAACTATGAGTGTATGTTTCATCATTTTTGTTGTTACTTCAACTGTAATTATTACATGATTGTTACTCTTATTAGGTCCTGATGCTTACAGCTCATGGATCTACCGACTCAATTATTCCTTAATTGATTCAGAGAGCATTGTCTTAGAAACAAATGCTACCTTTTTGGTATTGTCATCTCTCTCTCCTTCAACCTACTACCAGCTAAACCTTGAAGCTGTAGGACCAGGAGGAACAATGGCAGTGGAGGAAACCTTTGTGTTTAGTACCTTACCTGAAGGTAGAGAGGAGAGAGAGAGAGAGAGAGAGAGAGAGAGAGAGAGAGAGAGAGAGCAATTCTTAATTATGCTTAATTACAGGGGCAGTCCCAGAGTTACTAATAGCCGGTGATCAAGGAATAATAATATCAGGAGAAACCAACCGCTACCCGTCAAGACCAGACACTGATAACTCATGGGGTAGGGCCTATTTATAGTAACAGCTCATGCTATTTATAGTAACATAATAATTTTATTTTATAACTTATTTATTTATGCATCTAGCAAATAGTATTTGTCATTATTATTATTATCATTGTTATTTTTGTTTTTAGATGGTGTTCATAATTCTTTGCTCAATATTTCCTATGCTGTGGCTGCTAATTCTTTCTATGTCCAGGATTCAATGGGTGCGGTCAGACCAGTACTCACATCTCCATCCATTCCTATTGACTTGATAACTAACGATGATAGTGGACTCCAATTGGATTGGATATCAAGGAGACTGTACTGGATACAAGTGAGAGAGAGAAAGAGGGAGAGAAAAGGAAACGAAGCACCTGTATTTAATAGAGGCCAAAGAGAAAAATGAGATATAAATCATTTTGTTTTGTATTTTTTTATACATGCTGTAATGTCTTTAAACTATGTATGCATGTATATGTACTTTAAATTTTACATAATTTAATTTTTTCCCTCCTTTTATTCTTTTAGTCTTCAAGAAGGAGCATAGTGTCAGTGTCTACAGTTGGTATCAGTAGTTCTGGTGATATTGATACTTTTTATGAGTCTAATATTGATGTCATTGACATGGCCATGGACTCTATTAATGGGTAAGTACATGTACCACCAAATTAGTACAAATTAAATATACATGTATGTGCAATGAAAATTAGTTTTTCATTGAACTAGTAACTTTACTCCAGTATATTTCGGTATATATTTCAGTCTGTTTTTTCTTTTTCCCATGCAGTTTACTGTTCTTGGCCTCCAGTACAGTAATCTTTGCTAGATCTCTCAACAGTTTGAATTTCATTGCTTGTATAAATCCTCCTAGCGTATCTGCTGTAACAGTTGACCCAGCCAGCACTACTCTATATTACATCAGTAGTACATCCACTAATCATGTAACACTAGGACAAATACAGTATAATCATTCTTCCTGTGATACCAATAGGTAAGCTCAGCTATGTAATGAATGTATGTATTATAACTATTGGATGCACATTGTGTAGTGTTGAATGATGTGAGGGGTTGCCTGGTGAGTGGATGAGTGTGAGTAGTCTGATGGACTGTTTACTCAATTACTAGCTTGTTTGTGTACTCATATGTGACACTACTCCAACCCTCTCTCTCTCTCTCTCTCTCTCTCTCTCTCTCTCTCTCTCTCTCTCTCTCTCTCTCTCTCTCTCTCTCTCTCTCTCTCTCTCTAGTCATAGGACCCTATCTCTTCCCCTCTCAATGCTACCATTAAATCCTTCCTCCAGTGAACTCTCATTGGCTTATGGAGCTAACAAATTGTACATAACTCAAGCTGGAATGACAGTTGTGTACAGTCTGCCTGCTTTCATACAGTCTGGTTTCACTCCATTGATCAAAGTTATTGATGCTAATCCAACCACACAAGTATCAACCTCTTTCAGAGCAATCTCTGTCATATTGAACTCCACACAGCCACTCCCTGGTAAGAAAAGAAGAGAGCATTTTTCTAGGCATTTTAAGAAAATAGACATGTACGCATAATCTGTAATTTTTATGCACTCTTGATTAAAGTCATTCTCATAATTCCATTCTCATTCTGTAGCTGGATTGACTCCTGATATGACTGGAATGATTGATGTATTGACTCCGCCCACTCCTGGCTCTCCTTTTCTAAATGAAGTCGTGTCTAACGAGACCTTTATACGGATACAGTGGTCGCCGTCTGAGTTTCGATTCTCTCCTGTTACTTATGTTCTTAATATTACACTAACACCTTTGAATCAGTCCGTGGAAACTATAGATAGAGTTATAGTGAGTTGATATTATCAATTTATTTATTTATTTATTTTATTGTGTTTTATTTTCTTGCTAGGTTTCTGATAATTATTACGATATATCAAATATCTCTTTCTCCACTTGGGTCAATGTTAGTATTATTGCTTATTCCTATTGGTCTAGTTCTCCTCTGAACACTGGATCATTCTTATCACCTCCAGCACGTTAGCAAGATACACTCTCCTCTTCTCTTCTCTCATTTTCTTTTGGCTACTACCTCTTCTTGATTTATTGTGACCTCTTCTTTTTGTCTCTCCCTATTTTGTTCTTCCTTCCCTTCTTCACCCCCCCCTCTCTCTCTCCCCAGGTCCTGGTCAAGTTATGAATGTGCGAGTGTTTCCTTACTCTCCTTTGAGGAATACCACAGATAAGTTCTCTGCTCTTGTGGTCTGGGATGCTTTATCAAGAATTGATGCTGGAGGGGTTGTTGATAATTATTCTGTTGTTGTAACTGGAGACCTAGTTAGTCTTTCTCATCTCTATCAATATTCTTTCTTTTCCTTCTCACCCTCTCCTCTCTCTCTCTCATGTACATGTACACTACTACATGTATACATGTACATGTACTGTATTTTCTCAAATAAAAGCCCGGGTGTCTATTTCTTAAAATGACATTTGAACCTCGAAAAAAAATTTTTAATAAATTAAAACTTAAGCCAACAGCGGAATTTGATCCAGGGACCTCACACAAATGATTTCAGGAAGCCTAAGGAAGCTCAAGGAAGTGTACAAGGCATCTACAGTACATGTATATTATTGTTAGGCTAAATTTGCGTGTTTATAGTTTCGTTTTATTGCTACCCCGGCATTTATTTGCACCCAGCTTTTATTTGAGGATATATGGTACACGTATGTAACTACATGTGCATGTACTTGTACATGTACATGCATATCATCATCATTATTAGTGACACAATGTAATCTCTCTTTCTCTCATAGCTCTCTGATCCTAATACTCCCTATGATGGTCCACCATTTGTTGTTCCTGGTGATATTACCGAATTCTCATTAACCATTAAAGGAGATTTCAATATTTTAGCTTTTATTCTTGAAGCCTCTGAATCATATGATGTTCAGGTAATGAGTGTAGCAATAAGTACAGTAAATTTACTTATATTGTGTTAATAGGTTTTTGCAACTAATTCAGCTGGAAATGGACCACCATCACAGACTGTTACTTTTACTAGTAATGGTATGTTATATAAAACTTATTATTCTTCCCACATTTTGTTCTAATTCAAGGTTATGCATACTGTAGTACAGGGTTTCCCACACAGTACGCTAAACAGCATGCTTTGTGAACTGATAAGCATGTAGGTACTAGGTACATATGCATTTTGGGGCAACTTTAAAATTTGTAAAAATTTAATTTTGATCGGAATCAGTTCAAACTTTTTGCGCAACATAAGTAGATGTATATGTGCCAGAAAAAAATATAAAAATGGAGAATTTTCTCCTTTTCATTTTTGGCAAAATTTGGCCAATGACCCTTACTATAGCACATGTTCTTACAATTCATCATTGACTGAGTAACACAATGCAAAATTCACCGTTATTCTTTGCCAGGTACCACTCCTCCGTTAGAGTTGCTGTCCATTTCAAGCGAGAGCAGTGGAGTCTTTGTAGCAGCGGAAGGTCCCAATCGTACGATACCTGCCATAACCCCACCCCTTTCCCTCGACAATATAAGGCGCACCCTCTATTACTACAACCCACGTACCAGCTCTATTAATAACAGATCACTGGATCAACTGTCGGAAGATGAGGTAAGACATTGACATAGCATTCAATGCTAATAACTTTATCAGAAACAGTTCAAACTTGATGAGCTTAGCTACATGTAATTTAGCAAAAACATGTAGCTAAGCTAATACATGTACGTGTACACCTAAATTTGTTTACTTTACAAATACTCACAGTCTTTAATCTACCTTAAGCCTACTATTATTTGCGTCTACTAATTTTAGCGAAATCTGCACAACTCATGTTTAGCGTTACCAATTTTAGCGTTTTTAACCAAATTAACTATAAATAATAACCATTATAATGAATAATAAATATTTTGGCGTCTATTTAATTTAGCGGTTTAAAGCTCTCTCGCTAATATAGCTAAATTTAGTAGATGCTAAAAATAGTAGGCTTAATCTAATACATGTATAATGACCTCATTCTCTACATTGTGATTATGACATGAAGATTCTATGATCTCTTTCTTACAGCTTTTGTTGGATCTTCCAAGAGGATTCATACCATTAACAATCTCCTACGACTGGATAGCTCAGACCCTGTACATCATCGGCAGCAATGATGGAAAGACCAACATATGGAGAGTCTTCAGACTCTTTCCTAAAGGAGCACAACTGATATATGCTGATCCTGAGACTAACATCTTCAATGATACTGTGATGGGATCAACAATTGATCCTTTTAATGGGTAAGATTATTGATATATTTTTAATGGGTAGGCAGGCATATTTTAATGGGTAGGCAGGTTTATTTTAACAGGTATATGCCATATGCAAGTGTATGTATAACAGGTGTATTTTGGTCCGCAGGTGTATTTAATGCATATTCATTTAGTTCATCTAATTCTTTTTATTACTATTATAGTCTCCTTCACTGGACTATAAGTACCCCAACTGCCTCTACGTCAGAGCTACACCAGCTGTACCTCACCAATAACACTGTCTCTCGTCTCCTCCCCCCCTCTACCTCAAGGAGAAGAAAGAGAAACATAAACACTGCCTCCCTCCAACCAACTGGAGGTATCTCCTGGGATCCAGTGACAGAGAGGCTCTGGCTCTGTGATGGAGGGACTCATAATATTGTGTCATGCATTGGATCAGGGGAAGGAGGGCTTGAGTGTAGGACTGAGATTGATAATGGGACTCTTACCACTAACGTTGGCTCTGGATCTAGTGTCGATACTGATACAGGTAAGCTGCAACTCCTACAATGGCTACTACCATCAATACTACCTTTACCACAGGACTTCCTTGTGACTCCCTTACTCTTGATGAGGGGAGGATATACTGGACAGACAGTGGGTTGAACACTGCCTTTTATGTGACCAGGGATGACAGAACTACTCTACTCACTCTGTCTCTTCCTAACAGAGAGTCAGCCCTCATTAGCTCTAACCCTGGAGTCCAGCAACTGCCTCAGAATGTCAATGGTAGGATAATAGTAGAAATACCTGTTACATGTCATAATAAATAAATAAATACATGTAAATAGTAAATAACTTAATGTCAGAAAAACATGGTACTTCAATGTTTTAACTTTTTATTAATATATTTCAATCTCAGATTACAATTTATTTTTCATTTTAGGCGTGCCTTTAAATTGTCTTTCTCCATTATTTGACACTTCTGATGACAATAAGCCCATGACCACTGTTGTCTCTACCACTAACACGACTGCTAATATCTCTTGGACTATTAGTGCTTCCATTCCCTCTGAATGTAATGTTGTGTCAACTCTACCACTTCATTTCTTTGTTGAGCTGGAGATTGGCTCCACAAATGTGCCTGGTTATCCTAAGGTAAAGTTACTTTCCTTTTCTTTGTCTAGTTCCTAGTGTGCTTATAATTTCAATTGATTTGTCTTTTTCAATTGATTTGTCTTTCTCTGCTAACTTTTATGCACTGTGCAGGGACCCATTTATCAACAGAACTATATCATAACTGATCTGACTCCATTCACTGGTTACAAAGTAAAAGTAAAGGGACTCAATGAGTTTACATTGTTGGGTATTGATCTCTTTGGTAACGAACCACCTTTCATGACCACTGAAGGAGGTACATATAACTTCCTAATAGCAACAAGAGAGAGAGAGAGAGAGAGAGGAAAGAGAAAAGAGAAAAGGAAATAAATTACTATTGCATATGTACATTCTCCCCCTCCAGTGCCTGATGCAGTAGAAGGACTAACAGCTGAGCCTTTTGGCCCATACAACATATATCTTAGCTGGAACTCATTGAACGAAATGCAGCTAAGAGCAGACGTCAACTCTCAAATGTTTCAACTCTTCATTGACAATAGCGATACAATATTGAAGACAGAGTCGGCTAATATTACAACAATAATGTCGAGGGATCGACTGAGTCCTAATTCATCGCACAGCGTCACTGTTAGAACTGATAACGGCGTATTTAGATCGAGCAATTTCAGTTCTGTAAGTTTCGTGACGTGGTCCCTCCCCCCTCTCCCCAGTGTAACTGATAACAAGACTAATACTTCATTGGTTGTTGAACTCAGTCTAGATGATGTCCACAATGTGTTTCGGACTTTCAGGATATGCTTGAATGTAAATGACCCCTCCCTCTAACTTGTATAACTTCTTTCTTTCTCTCTCCTTCTCTCTTAGGGCACTATCGGTTGTAGAAATGTCACACTAGTTAATGCAACAGGGTTTCATACATTCACTGATCTCCTCCCTTTTACAGCATACGCCCCCACTGTCACTGGAGAATACATGCCTAGATCTTTTAGTGGCACTATTTTCAAAGCCCAGCCTGAAAGTATCACTGGAGAGGCTATTATGACTGACCGTAAGTCACATGACAATCACACTTTGTTCTAATGACTTTTAACACATGTAGCTGGAGTGCCTGCTCCTCCAATGGATGTCCGTGTTCAAGACTCGAGTACTTTAAGATGGAGTGAGCCGAGAAATAATGGAGAGTCTATTGCAGATTATCTTATTATTCTGAGGCGGTAAGAGAGAGGAGGAGGAAGAGGAATAATAATAATAATAATAATAATAATAATAATAATAATAATAATAATAATAACAATAATAATAATAATAATAATAATAATAATAATAATAATAATAATAATAATAACAATAATAATAATAATAATAATAATAATAATAACAATAATAATAATAATAATAATAATAATAATAATAATAATCGTTATTTTATAGAAATGGAGGCTTGGTACAAACAGTAACAACTACACAACTCAGTCATGATTTAGCTAACGTTAACAACGTAACAAGGGAGGTGGAGTACACGGTAACAGTCTCTGCTAGGAACTCAATTGGACTCAGCAACGAGTCATCAGGAGTGAGCTACACAAGACAACCTGAGTCAAGTCAGTGTAGTGTATACTAGTACTGATGTATAGTATAAGGGTTTTAAAATTTTACTTAATAACAAAACAAGCTACAAGCTTATAAAATATTATCTATTTTTAATTGCATATATTTACATGCAGCATAAAAATTATACTATAAATAATAGCAGAATATTATGTATAATTATGCTTTAAATTATTATTATGCATGTATTTCTTATTCTAGATCCCTTCGATTTTGTTACAACATGGTATTTCATTGCCGGTGTGAGCGTGTTTGGGATTATACTCTTACTGTTGATTGGACTCTTATTCTGTGAGTATAGACTAAGAATTAGTATCACTGATTGGTTATGTGTACAAATCATGTTAACACTCGAATTGATTGTTTATTTTTATTTTACATTTTTAGTTTGTTGTTGCTGCTGTTTCGTAGGACGTAAAGAGACTCATGCCTTTAGACCGGACTATGAACTAAGAGGATTGAGGGCTTTGAACTCTCGCACGCAATCCCTGACTAACCCACACTACTGGTTAGGAGAGAGAGGGGGGAGGGAGGGAGAGAAAGAGGGAGGGAGGGAGAGAAAGAGGGAGGGAGGGAGAGAAAGGGGGAGAGAGGGAGGGAGGGAGAGAAAGAGAGAGAGTGGGAGGGAGGGAGAGAAAGAGAGAGGGAGAATAGGCAGGAATATAATGATGTACAATGTATGACTTTTCTTAATTTTTATTTTACACTCAGGTCTAGGGATAATTTCAAATGCACTGAAGAAGATTTGGAGTCTCTGAACAAGTTCCCACGAAATAAACTAAGACTTGAGAAGTAAATTGATCACCTCTCTTACTCACTACCTGCCATCTTTCCCCTCCCCTTCTCTCTCTCTCTCTTCTTTCTCTAGTTTCATAGACAGAGGAGAGTTTGGTGAAGTATATCAAGGAACTGCTCTAGACATTTTAGGACAGGGAACAGGGCCCACTCCTGTTGCTGTTAAAACTCTTAGAAAAGGATCCACCGAAGACGAGCAGAGGAAGTTCCTCTCAGAAGCTGCTCTGATGAGGTATGACCATATACATATGAATTACTTTTATAGATTTATAGTAATTTAGGTAGTATTTATAGTGTTGCTTTTATAACTCTTTTATTTATTAAATTATTTCTCATAGCAACTTCAATCACATCAACATAGTTAAAGTACTAGGAGTCTGTCTTAACAATGATCCTATCTATATCATAATGGAGCTAATGCCCGGCGGAGACCTACTCAAATTCCTCCGAGAGGCAAGGAGGGATCACGTGAGCACAAGACGCAATAAGTAATTAATATTATAGACCTTCTTTTAGGGTCCTCCATTGCTGACACAGTCAGAGCTGGTCCAGGTTGCTTTAGATGTTGCTCAAGGCTGTAGGTACTTGGAGCAGCAGCACTTCATTCATCGGGACATTGCCGCAAGGAATTGTCTCGTGTCGTCAAAAGGAGCCGATCGCGTCATAAAGATCGGGGACTTTGGTCTAGCCAAGGATCTCTATAGTTCAGACTATTATCAGGTTAGGCGTGGGCGTGGTTAGGATGTGGGTGTGGTTAGGGGATCAGTCTGTGACTGTTTGGTTGTTGTGTAGGTTGAGGGTCAGAGGAAGCTGCCCGTGAGATGGATGGCACCGGAAGCTTTGACTCAAGGGAAGTTTTCTATCGAATCTGATGTTTGGTAAGCTATTGAATGAGAGATAGTTTTGTGCATGTATTATGATGAACAGAAATGGCTCCAAAATCACCCCAAATTTTTATTAAATTTTCTGATACATATTGATGTCCTCATGCTATGTAGAAAGTTTGAACTGATTCAGACTCTAATTTTTCAAGTTATGGCCATTTTTTTAAAATGCCAAAATTTTGAAAAATAGCCAAGGCTATAGCCCATGGTTTTTTCCAAAAAATGGCTCCAAAATCACCCCCATTTTAATTAAATTTTCTGATGCATATTGATGTCCTCATGCTATGTAGAAAGTTTGAGCTGATTCTGAAGTAAAATTTTTGAGTTATGGCCATTTAAAAAAACGAGCCAATTTCTGAAAATTTCCCTGTACTATAGCCCATGGTTTTTTCCGAAAAATGGCTCTGAAATCACCCCCCATTTTTATTACATTTTCTGATACACATTGATGTACTTGTGCTATGTAGAAAGTTTGAGCTGATTCTGACAAATATTTTTTGAGTTATAAGCATTTTTTTAATGAGCCAATAATTGCAACAAAACTTTTATTACCTTTAGGTCATTTGGCATATTACTATGGGAGATAATGACGTTTGGTAATCAGCCATATCCAGGAAGAACCAATCAAGAAGTACTTCAGTTTGTCACTGGAGACGGAAGACTAGACAAACCCGAAGACTGCTCCTCCAGACTGTAAGCTATTACGGAAATATTTATTGAGCATCAATTTTTTTAGCCACTCCTCCTATGCCATTTTATTTTTTAATAACACTATGATGTTTATCTTTTTTTATAGCTATAAGCTAATGCAGTGTTGTTGGAAGAAATACGCTAGCGAAAGACCAAAGTTTGCCCAGATTGTTGACGTGATCTCCAGCTATTGGGATCACTTGAACAACAAGAGGGACAGCTATTGCTCTGACGACGACGATGAGGAACTCGAAGACATTTTACAAAGAAGACCGTCGCGTCCTTCAAGAACGTCATCAGTTAGATCAGGTACATAATAATAGCATGTTATTCTGCATACTACTGTAATTTCTAGTAAATTTCAGTACATTTCAGTATATTTTTGTACATTTTTAGGTTTTGTTAACCTAGCCAGACAGGGTAGTATGCGTATAAGGAATAGCTTTAGGAGAAGAGGTAGTTTACATAGGAAGGAGGAGCACGACTCACACGGTCAGAATCATGCGGGATTGAACAGTGAAGAAGATTTAGTGGTAAGTTTGATTTAAAATAATTGTCATTATTAAAAAAAATTTTTTTTCATTTTTAGGGTGATGATCATTTCAGAGAAAGAGGTCCTTTTTAGACACGCAGCATGCACTAACATTTATCCAGTCTCCCTCTCTCTACTTTCAGCGTGTGCATGTTAACAATTATTATTATTATTATTATTATTATTATTATTATTAATATTAAAACTATTTTCTCCAACCACATTTCTGTCAACATCTAATATTTTTCGTTATTGTGAGACTAATAATTTATTATTATTGTTATTATTTTTTCTGCTACATGACATGACTATAGTTTTATCTGCTACTGCTATACTGCCAGCAACAACATACAGTAGTCAAATGTATTATCTGTTTTTTCATGTTGCAATAATACTTTCTGTTATTGCTGTTGACTTTTTCTGTCATTCTTTAATAATTATACATACTAGATTATCATTATCATTATTATTATTATTATATTTTTGTGTTAAAACTATCTGAAAAAGACAACAAGGAGTGATATGTATATATATATAACTACATGTATTTATGATTCATTATGAGAGGGAAGTCTACACCTGCTATTGCAAATACAATTAAAAAGTTCCAGAAATGTCATATGTATGTTTTATATGCTTAGTTGTGAAAGGGGAGAGAGAGAGAGAGAGTTTACTGTCAAATTTCTAATTTAAGTATGTGGTGAAGGTCAGAGTCCAAGGGAGGAGGTGGTGGTAATGCTCTTATCTTTTCTTCTGGTGCTGCTGGATAGCCCCACTGATTAGTAGTCTGGATTTGATGATCATACTCTGCACTAGTGGGCCCTGGATTTGGGCAATTGTTGTTATCAAAATAATGAGAAGGAGGATTGATGTTGTTATGATGATGATGATGGTAATGATTATATGAGAGTGCTTGGTGATGCTGCTGTTGTTGATGATCTTCATATCCTTCTCCACTACCTTGCATATACTGTGCTTGCTGATGTCCACCAGTTTGATTGTATGAGCCCCACATTCCTAGACTATTGCCTGCATCCAACATAAAAGACAAAATATGCAAAGATAAGCTGCTAGAAGAGTCACTTACATGCGTGAGATTGCGACTGAGGAAAAGAAGCTGCTTGCAAATTGTAAGGCACATCAAAGTGGGAAATAGGGAAACCTAAAACTTGTAGAGCCTATGAGAGGAACATTGCAAGCACTCACTGTTTTGTGGATGGGCTACATAGTCATTTGATGAAGGAACAGTTGCATCTGACCAGGCTGTAAAATCAAAGACAAAGGAAATAATCATTTACAAGTGATACAGTGATTTTCCTAAAACTTGCATGATAGACAAGCAGAAATGTGTCATGCACATGCTCTGTTGTGGTCAGGAATAAAATGGATGCACCTACTTAATACTGACCACAACAGAGCATGTGCATAACACATTTCTGCTTGACTATCATGCAAGTTTAAGGAAAATCACTGTAAAAGGGTGAGAACAAGGTAATTATTATTCTAAGTAGGTGAGAATAATTTTTATAAGTAGGTGAAAACAAGGTATTATTATTATGAGGTGAGAACAAGGTCATTACTATAAGTAGGTGAATATAAGTGAGAACTAAACACTGACTTTACTTACAAGCTGAGGAATATCCTTCAGCAGAAAAGCCTCCATCTATATAGTATAAGAGTATAAGATAAAATTGTAATGCATGCAAGCAAGTACTTACATGATGGTGGATGCTGATGCTGATGGTGATGATAGTAAGATATCTGTTTTGTCGCTTGAGGTGACACAAAAGAAAATTCCCTAAAATTACCATTATAATGAAAGTGTGCCTGTGACATGTTTAATGCTCCACTTTGCATTTCCTGTGCTGGCGTATAATCTAAATAAGAAGGAGGAAGGGGAGGAGGAGGAGGAGGGTGAGGGTGAGAGGTTCCGCTGCTTCTGTTGTAATTGACAGGCTGTCCCTGTATTCTAGGTGCATCAGAGAATGAGTCAATTAGTGGATGGACGAGCAGCCCAGCTAGGCCTGGGTATATGATTGCTGGAGTTGAGCTAGGAGGAGGAGTGGATGCATGCTGCTGGCTTATATCATGAGGCTCTGCATCACTTTTCCTTTCTGGATTGTTCACAGACGGTGAAGTAGGAGATGAGAAGACTCCTGTTCCACTACTTTCAATTGTTTCTATAACAAAAACACACAATAAAGTGCTAAATTTAGTACAGCACACAGAATGATAATATTCATCATACGTTTATAAGAATATTGCTTTATATTTGTAATGATTATTACTATCAAGATATTCTCTGACATGTAAAAGTACCTTTTTTGATCTCATTTGACGGGGAGTTCTTGCTATTGATAAGGGAAGAGTCACTGCTGTTGTTCTCGTTAGTATTGTTGCAATTGACAACAGTTGATGAGGAGGAGGATGTTGAACTGGTGGAGAGGGCCCTACTAAAATGTCCATCAACCTCGTGGCTGAGATCCTTATAGAATGTAATGATTTTAGAGGTCTTGTCTCCCAGAGAGCATTCACTTGGTGAAGAAGTCATCTCACGGTACCAGAGGCAGCAGACCGGTCGCGTTAATCATCTATCTAGAGTGCGGGCACCATTTATCTAATTTGCTGCTATCTTAACACCTCTATTAGCTTTAAAAGCACTGCTTACCAGAACAGAGGGTGGTAATAATACGCTCAGTCCTGTTTTGACGACTTTCCTGCTAAATGTTAGCACTTTGGACTGAAGAGCAATGGAGGTGCTGCAAATGCCGCGATGTAGCGCCATTCTGTGAATAGTTAATTAAAAGTTATTAAAATTTTATTTTTTGCATAATTAGAACTATATACGGATACAAACCCGAGCTAAGTTGCCTTGTCAGCTGTGTACAGTGTGGTCAACAAGTGTGAACAAGCTAGTCCTTCACAGCTATGTCTAAACTTCAATATGGGTGAGTTGATTGATGCTCAAGGTTTACAAGTAAATGTCAGGCTATGAATTTATATGAGCCTATGAATTTATATGAGCCTATGAATTTATATGAGCCTATGAATTTATATGAGCCTATCCCTATGCAAGTAGCTTTTGAATGCACTCCTTTTGGAGATTGTTGGAGATGATACAAGTACTGAGCATGTTCATGATAGTTCATCTGCCTCTAGATAATTAATTTTTGTGATTGTAATTTGTTATAGTATGTTTTTCTGTCTGTTTATATATTTATGTGGTGCCAGATTTTTTCTTGGCATTGCCTCAGTACTGATTCCTTTCTGTGCTCTAGTTTACTTTGCTTCTGTTCACTGCCCCCATAAAATCTAATAATTTCATTGCAAAATTAATGTTAAATAATGCAACTGCACAATTTATAAAAAACAACTTAAGAATCAGTTTCATTATAATATATACTAAAATGCTGAGCTAGCAATATTGAGCTACTCTTTATTACCCTGCTATTTCCCTTATCCTATCACTGCATGCATCAGTGATCATGAAGTTAATGATCTTATTTCTTTTAGCCCAATCACTGTTCACATGAAAGAAAAACGTGGCGGCAGGATAGAATTTGAATTCACTAACAACGAGAGTAAAAACCTCTACCTCCTAAACTACCATACCCCATTGGAAGGAATAAGGTCCTGCTACTTGAGCGTCAAGCACAAGGCGTCCGGAGAGAAGCAGAAATACAATGGGATTATTGCGAAAAGGCCTCCACCAACAAAAGGCTCTCACTGCATGCTCCTCAAACCAGGAGAGTCACGCAGTACCACCGTTAACCTCACTGATGCATACACCTTCCCTCATAGCGGGGAATACACGATTGAGTACACTAGACCACTAGTATACTTCACTGAAGATGATATGAAGAAACACAGTGAGGATTCTCCTTTGCCTTACCACCCCAAGCAACATGAGTTCCTTCCTTTGACCGATCCTTTGACAATTTACATGGGAGCAACTCCTCATAAACCAAGAGATGAAGAGCCCAAAAGAGCCCCAGTGGATAATGTAGTAGTAGTTAATGGGTCTGGTGATCAGGAAAAAGTCATAAGAGATCTCCACAGGGAAATGGTCACCATTGGTTATCCAATGGTCATAAGAGCTGTGAAAAAGAATTCAAAGTTATACAAGACATGGTTTGGTGATGAATCTTACCAAAGTCACGTTTTAAGTGTCTATGAGAAATGCTACCATCATCTAAGCAATGACGTTTGCAAGTATCAGTTTGGAGGCTCAGACTGCACTGGGAACGACTTTGCTTACACGATTCAAGGAACTCATAAAGTCTTCCTCTGTGGCCTCTTCAAAAAGGCTAGCACGAAATCACGATTCTCTGGCGATGACAGCAAGCAACAGACGCTGGTTCACGAATGGTCGCATGCTTTTGGATTTACAGACGATGATGGTGGTCATGGCTATGGATCACATACTGGTCAAGAACTGGCTAAACACCATCCAGGCATTGCTACTCACAATGCTGATAACTATGGATACTTCTACTGCGATGTCATGCTGGAACACCATCAGAACTAAACGTACTGCTAGTGTGATTTCACTGATTTATATTAAACTTGATTTTCTTAGTATGATGATGTGCTACATGTGTTACAATAATCATTGTTTATATTGAGTGATTGTAGCATTTATAATAATTTATCATAATGCTTTAAAAATTCATTGATTATATGTAGTAATTGTGAGTCTACTGGAGATGACACTCATTGGCGACTTTACTCGCAAAATGATCGGTGACTTTCTCTCTCAGTCGCTCTATCTCTTTCCGGTTCTTCTGTACTTGAGTTAATTGTTGCTCATACTTTCTTGCTGGATCCAACTCAGAATCAGTTTTATGATCACCATTACCAGTAGCACCACCTCCTTGTGAATGAGAGTAATATTTAAAATAATAAAAGAATGAAATAGATGCTGTCAATGTATTGCTAAAAATTCTGTGGTACAGCAAAGATTTCTTTTTTGCTTGGTCAATTTTGGGACAATTTTCTAGTTATAGTTTAATTTTATTAGTCTCACCTAGCAATAGTGACATATCTGGTTCTTTTCCTTCAAATATTGATGAAGCTAAACTAACTAATGAATCTACCTCTTCAACACACTGTGATACCTACATAAGTACTTAATAACTGTTAATAACAAGTACACCACACCCACCTCTTGACTAAGTGCTTGCAGTGATTCGTCGCTTCCATCACTTACTGGGCTCACGCTGACAATGCCACTCCTACCAACCTAATTAATAATAGTTATTAATAGTTATTAATAGTTATTCTTAGTTATTAATAGTTATAACAGACCTCTGGTGGCTCTTGAAGGCCATAATTTTTCTCCATTAAAATTTGATTCTGTTTTACAAGCTATGAAGAAAAAAGAAGGATGTCATTTTAATGAAATCAAAAAGGGTCATTTACACAATGTATATTAATATTAAAAATTAGAACTCACATCTCCAAAGGATGACTTTAGATCTGCTACAGTTCCTTGACTTAATTTTAATTCATTGTTAAGAGCTGTCATTACATCCTAAAGAGATTGATGTACCCCATAGTCACAAATAAATGAAACATACCGAGTTCTTGAGGAGTTGTAATTCTAACTGTCTGTTCCTTTTGGTGACTGTCTTGTATTGTTCCTTTAGTTTTGCAGTAGCTTCCTGGAATCTTAGTTTATGTCTTTCTCTCATGTCACGCAAATCCTGTCTATTCTTTTCCTCTAATTCAGTGATTTGCTACAAAAAAAACAACAAGAAAGAGAGAGAGAAGGGGGGAGGCAGGAGTATAAAAGCTACAAATATAGATGTTCTCTTTTACCTGCTTGCTTTTCATTAGTTCGATTTTATATTGTGAGATATCAGAGTGCAATTCAACTAGTCTCCTATCACTTGTCTCACATTGCAGTCTATGAAAAATTGTAAATGAAAATAATTATAACAAAATACTGGAGCTAAAAGTATAATATCCAGAGATCCCAGTACATGGCATTTGGGGCTCAAACATTCCACACAACATAACAATAAATTTGGTCAAAGACCCTGTACTATATAGTACAGGGACTTGAACTCAATGTTTGAATCACTTTTTAAAATGTATAAAAAATTCAATTTTGATTGGAATCAGCTCAAACTTGCTGCACAACTTAAGTACATGTATATGCATCAGATAAAATTATAAAAATGTGAAATTCTCTCCTAGTCAATTTTGGCAAAATTTCACCAGAATCTCTGTACTATAGTACAGGGGTTTCAGCCCAATTTTTAAAAATTCGTAAAAAAATCAATTTTGATCGGAATCAGTTCAAACTTGCTACACAACCTAAGTACATGTATATGTATCAGATAGAATTATAAAAATGGAGAATTCTCTCCTAGTCAATTTTGGCAAAATTTTGCCAAAATCCCTGTACTATAGTACAGGGGTTTCGGCCCAATTCTGAGCAATTTTTAAAAATGCGTAAAAAATTCAATTTTGATCGGAATCAGTTTAAACTTGCTACACAACCTAAGTACATGTATATGCATCAGATAAAATTATAAAAATGGAGAATTCTCTCCTAGTCAATTTTGGCAAAATTTGGCCAAAATCCCTGTACTATAGTACAGGGACTTTGGCCCAAATTTTGAGCAATTTTTAAAAATTCGTAAAAAATTCAATTTTGATCGGAATCAGTTTAAACTTGCTACACAACCTAAGTACATGTATATGCATCAGATAAAATTATAAAAATGGAGAATTCTCTCCTAGTCAATTTGGACTAAATAGCCTGTACTATTATACAGGGTCTTCAATGTGGAAAAAAATCCTGTGGTAAGCCATGATGATGGCCATAGCTCAAAGTGACGATAATTATACTTGTCAGAGCTGATTCAAACTTTCTACAAACATGGGAATATACAGATTGTGTGAACAGCTTTATTAGGACGGCTTTAATAGTGTTAATTATATAATAATGTGTCAGTAATAATAATCAACACAATGCATTACATTTATTACCTCAGGTCACTATTATCTTGCTTTAGATCGCGAATATTTATAGACATTTCTCTTAACATTGTTTCCTATGAAAGAAGTAAATAACATAATAAATAAATATACATTACCTTATCTCTTAGTTCATCAATTTGTGCCATAATTTTGTCCTCTTTTTCCCTCAGTCTCTCGCTCAATAGAATATTCTGTGAATGAAGCTCGGTCACTTGCTCCTTCATGCTATAGTGCTCTTCCATTGTTGGTGTATTCCCCAAATAACCCTCCAACTTCACTATCTTATCTCTATTAGAAGTATAAGAATATTTAAAATGCCAGGCATTTTTATTTATTATAAATTATTTGTATCATCTGATCCAAATCATTTGGCAACAAAAAGCAATAATGAGTACTATACAAACATGCTTCTGCTTCTCATCCAATACATTAATAAGTACAATTAAATTAATCTAGCATTGTGTCAGTAATATATAAAATTAAAAATATCTATAGTATCATTACACGTACTCTAGCAATTTAATTTTTGCTTTATATCTGTCAGCGTCTGTCTCCAACTGACTGATATGTGAGTCTTTATCTGATATCTATTGAAAGAGATGGAGAGGGAAGGAGGGAGGGTAGGGGAGAAGGTAAAAAGGGTCATGTGTGGATACATGTAGCTGGTCTCTTACTTTGTCTCTCATTACATCACTCTCTGATTTGGCTTTCTCCAATTCGTAATAAGCTTCACTGTAAACAAGAGAGAAGGAAAAAGAGGAAAGAAGGGAAAATAGAAAACAAAGAGAGAGAGAGAGAGAGAGAGAAATTAAATTCAAGCAGGACACATGAGCTCCTAATGAACAGCATTAGCCAGCAGATGTTCTATTACTCACAGACACTTACTCACAAGCCTTCCAGAACATGTACATGTACATCCAAGCTACCACATAATGCATTTAGTCTCATGTACAAGTACATGCATACATGTACAGTAATGTTATGCACAATTGCACATGTACATGTAGCTTGAGCCATTTAATAAATTAAAGTATTGCACATAAGAATGGAACTAACAATAGAAGTTAACTGTATAATAGTATAAGGATCAAATCAACAAGTCAGAAGGTTAATAATACATTCCTAGTATATAGAAACCAATGCAATTATCCTTCTTAATATTATTATTGGCTTTTAATTTTAGATTATTACTTACTCTAATTTCCGGGACAGTATATCAAGTTTAACTGGAGCAGACAGGCCGACATTTGCCTCTCCTCCAACATTACCCTAAAAGAGAAAAACAAACATACTTTACTAATAATACTAATATTATTATTAAGGATACCACCAGACTATAGTGACAACAATAACAACAACAACACATACTTCGTCAATACTTGACTATAAACAAAGACTGCATTGATTTAAAAAAGAAAACAACACAGTGTTCAAAACATTCCTTTTTTTGAATAAACGACCTCCTTCTCTTCCAATAAAATATGTACTGTACTACTGTTACCACTGTACATTACATCAGTCCTGTATTACTTACTTCATTTGCTTGTGGTAGAGTGAGTAAACGTAACTGGGAGTCTTTCTTCTTACAATCTTGTTGTAGTCTAGTTATGGTGTTCTTCTGTCTGTTAAAATGATAAAGACAACATAAATATTTAACATTCTAGTAGTGTGTTAACACAATATAGCCCATTTCTATGTATGCGGTCCATTAAAAGCTACAATTTACTTTTCTATTATTTGACTCTTTTCTGTCAACAGCGACATTAAATTTCTCATTCGATCCGCATGAAGAAGTTCCTTTACTGGTGAAGATCTTTCGCTACCACCTCCCGTTCTCGTAGGCGAGAGTGAGACGCAAGAAAAACTAGAACTTAAAACATCTAATTTGTTCCCTTTTCTACGAGGAGTGCCAACTACAGAGGTACCCTCATGAGGTGTGGTCGATCGTTGAGAAGTGATAATGGCTGCTGAAGAAGAACCACCCACCAGTGGAGCAACTTTAGCTGTTGGAGGAGGCTTGTGAGGAGTGGACTCGTGGACTGCCTGAGGCTGTTCTCGGGTAGTCGGGGGTTGTAGGGAACGAGTCTCTTCATCAGGGGTAGTCACGTCTTTACTGGTTACTGGTACAGGGAAATGACGGGTGGGCTTATTGAGAGAACTAGCGCTTTCCTCTTGAGATGACATGATGAGTTCTGTCGATGGACAGTTTCTGAATAAACTCAGTACTGATGACTGGACAATGATGATTTCAAAAAGGAGGAGGGAAGAGGGAGGAGAAGAGAATGGACATATGGGCCGGGTGTCTTTTTCTTTAATTTATCTTCTTTTTAAAGTTCACGCATGCGCACTGTATCTAAGATCTCTAATTTGCGTGGGTGTTGATACACGAGCCCCACCTCTCATCTGGACTATAATAATGGCTACTGCTTCAAAGAGTCTTCCAATGCTTTATAGGGACTTGGGGAGAACTGGAATGAGACTCTCTATTGTGGGCCTCGGTGGATCAGGATGGGGCAAGAACTATGGGCCATATGATGAGAAAGAAGCCGTCAGGGCTTTCCAGTAAGAAATGAATGAAATTACATTTTCCACCCATTGTTTGTTTATTCCAGCCATGCTCTTGATCGTGGTGTTAATTACATAGACACGGCATATTGGTATGGCCAGGGACATTCTGAAAAGTTCCTTGGTCAGCACCTCCTGCCGACAGTTTCTCGTGATAGATACTTCATAGCAACCAAAGTCGGTCGCTACGAATTGGATCTACCAAACATGTTTAATTTCACTGCCGAGAGGGTCACAAAAAGCCTCGAGGAGAGCCTCCGTCGACTTCAGCTCAGCGAGGTTGACATCATTCAAATTCACGACGTAGAGTTCTCATTATCGGTGAACCAGATTCTCCATGAGACTCTCCCAGCGCTAGAGAGACTGAAAGAGAAAGGTCTCTGTCGCCATATTGGTATCACTGGGTACCCACTCGGTCCTTTAAAAGAAGTCATTTCACAGAGCTCAGTTCAAATCGATAGCATTTTATCGTATTGTCGTCTCTCTCTTAATGACTGGACGTTAAAAAACGAGTTCCAATTTTTTAAAGAAAATAAAGTCCCTATTATCAATGCTTGCCCTGTATCAATGGGTTTATTGACCGAGGGGCCTGTACAGGATTGGCATCCGTCTCTCCCATGGATTAGAGACGCTTGCAACAGAGCTGTCCAATACTGTAGGGAACAAGGAGTGGATATAACTAAACTAGCTCTTCATTATTCCACTTCTTTTGAAGAGGTACTTAATACATGTACATATTTATATAATTTTATTAATCTTTTTATAGGCAGTGACTACACTGGTGAGTATGTGTGACACGGAGATGGTTGATAAGAATCTTGACTCGGCTCTCTCTCCTCTCACTCCTCATGAGGAAGGCGTGATGCAACATTTACTGGATAATGTTTTTGGTGACATGACTCAGAGGCACTGGGAAGGAGTGGAACTCGTTAGCTACTGGAATGCTACCAGAAAGTGATTATATATTTTAGAAGACAGAATTTAAAGTGACATTATTTTTTTGTAAAAATAACAATACATTGCTACCACATTAAATTATTGGTTATTAGTTTTAAAGTTTCCAATTTGTTCCCAGTACTCTTTTAGCTCCACACCTTCCCAGTGTCTCTGTGGAAGGCGACTGAAAAATTTCTCTAAATCTCCTGCCACTTTCTTCTCTTTCTCTGTCATTGGGCTGAGGACAGCAGAGAGATTCCTGTCAAGCATTTGAGTATCACTAATTGTAACTAAAGTTGTCACAACCTAGAGAAGAAAACTAGATTTTAAAAGTTGCAATCTTTATAGAGACTCATATTCTCTCACTTCATCAAAGCTGGTAGAATAATTCACAGCTAGTCTTGTAATATCAACTCCTTTGCTATTGCAATACTCTACTGCTTCCTTGCATTTATCTTTTATGTAAGGCAGTGCAGGGTTCCACCATTGAGGCCCTTCACTTGTCAGTAGCCCCATACTAACAGGGCTAGCATTAATGATTGAGACTCCATGAGATTTAAAGAAATCAAAATGATCTTTTAGAGAGTTATCATTCAACGTTAGCCTTGCATACGATAAAACCGAATCAATCTTAATGTGATGCGAGTGAGCTATTATCTCTTTTAGGGGCCCAATGGGATAACCAGTGATGCCTATTGCTCTGCAGAATCCTTTATCTTTCAGTTCCTGTATTGCTGGGAGTGCCTCGTTCATTATGATGTCAAGAGATGGAGCAAACTCAACATCATGAAGTTGCAGGATGTCCACATGCTCCAACTGAAGTCGTTTCAAGGATTCCTCAAAACCTTTTAAAATCGTCTCACGAGAAAAATCAAACCTTTTCTTTACATCCCAAAAGTACCGACCGACTTTCGTACCAATGTAATACTTATCCCTAGGCACCCTGGAGAGAACTCGGCCAAGAAAACTCTCTGAGCGTCCTTCACCATAAAATGGAGATGTATCAATGTAATTGACACCCTTGTCAAGAGAGGACCTGAAATAAAAATATTTTAGCTAAAATACCTTTGCTATATATACACACACCCACTTGAGCTTGCTCTGCTGTCTGCACTGTGGTACAGCTTACCTCAATGCTTCTTCTGCTTTTTTTCTCGTCATATTCTCCGTATATTCCACCATATCCAGACCCTCCAAGGCTCAGACAACACAAACGCAAGCCAGTAGAACCAATTTCTTTGTAAAGGAGCTTACAAGATGCAGCCATTTTGTGAGTGGGCGTTGCGGAGCTCGTTATTAAAAATTAATTAAAAGTGTGAAGAGAGTTAAAAATTTAATAATAAGGAGTGATAATAATAGATCTTTATGACAATGATGAAGAAATGAGAGAAAGAAGGGACAGCCTCTAAGTCCAAGACAAATCATCTCTTTGCAATGTTGTTTGCAATCGCTTCATTTTCCTTAGCATCTTGAGATTATCATTACAAAAAGCTCTAGGAGAACTAGCTGCTATACAGTCTCTAGTACTAGCAGCATCTCCACGAGTGGCTGTACAGTAACAAGAGCAAGTACAGTGATGACTGGTGGAACGACTTTTATCATCATCATGATGATAATGGGAATCTGTATAACTTCTGCCTAAATAATAATGAGGTATGAGATGCTTTGTAATATAATACATTAAAGTTACCTTTCTTGTGTGATTTAGGATTACTGGTATCAACTTGACGATGCTTTCTCTCGGATGCTAAAAGCTTTTTCACTATTTGTATCTGCTCCATTTTCCCTTCCAGTTGCTCTACGATTCGACTCAGCTCAGACTCAATCTCTCCAATGACTGGGTCTTGTCTTGAAGGAGATTGAGGTGATTTTGAAGGACTTGTCTCTTTTTTCTGTCGCTGCTGTTGTTGAAGTGATGTAGCCAATTCGCTGTGCTCACTGGGAAAAGAGAGGGAAGGAAAGGATGAAACACAAGACAAGAGAAAAAGAACATACAAAGTTAATCTTCCAAACTCAGCCTCTAAAGCAACTAAAAGTCCTTCCAATTCCTCACAAGATGGCTTGCTACCAAAACTACAACTCTTTTTCTTCTTCTTGGACCCCCGTGGTGAGGTCTTCCTCTTAGGGGGTGGGTTGGGTATGGAATTAGCAGCTACAGCTCCGCATAATAAAGGATTGTGACTCTTCATCAGTGATACAACTTTCTGATAGTTAGCAGTCACTGAATGTGAAGGGCCCGTAGACTATATATAAAAGAATATAACAACATTGGTAGCAACTTTACTTACTGTTCCAACTACAAATGGCACATCCTTCATTCTCAAATGGTAGTGTACTCCTGGTATTGGTTTACTGACTGCTACACTGTCTGCTGTTGCTGGAGGCTTTCTCCTATGACTACAAGTAGTGGTGACTGGAGCCTTCTTCTTTCTCCTCTGACCTCCATCTCTTCTATCCCTATCGTCATCATCATCCTAAAAATAAACAATGCTATCATGACTTTCCTGATCATTTACTTACCAAATATTGTAAGCGAGAGGGGGCTGTCTTCTGTGCTTGTCTCTTCTGCCATTGCTTCTGGAGTAGTCTTCCTTCTAGATTATCAAGCTTTGACTGAGAGATGGGGATAAAAAAAAAATATATATATATATAATCTTTATGTAGTATTACTTACTGATGCAAACACTTGTTCAGCTTGAAGCTTAGCTTGCTTATCTTCTAAGATTTGTAAACGTTCCTCAGTCTCCTTTAGAGGAGAGACATCAGAAAGAAGAGGAGGAGGAGGAGGAGGGGTAGAGAGGTCTATGGTTTCTTGATTCTCTTTCTCTCTTCCATCCTGCTCTCCTGTTGTTCTCTTCAGCCTGTCTTTCATCAGTTCTATCTCTTGCAATTGAAGCGAATATCTTGTATCAAGTGAGTCCAAACGATGAGAAAAATCTATCATTTGAAAAGCACAATAATAAATCTTACACTGTACATGCCATGCCAACCGTAATTGCATAAAATAATATCCATACATAATCAATTAGTACATTCCTATAATTTTATTTAAATATAATACTATGTACCTCTAGTTGGTTGTCTCTCAGGGCTTGTGGTCTCTCGTGATGCTCTTCCATCTTCATTGCTCCTCTCCTTCTCTCTTTGGTTCTCACGGGCACCAGAGGACAAGACTTGGTGCCTCGTTTCGTCCGAGAGTTTCTTAAATTTCCCTGCAGCTAGCGTTCGGTCTACTTCAAGCTGGTGAATCTTGCTTTGCAGTGACTTGAGAGCAGAAATAAAACCTGGAGTGAGAAAATAATGACAAGCATTCAAGTCCCACCCATTTTAAGAATTAGATCTAATTTTAATTAAATTGACTGTAAGTATTTATACGTCTCTGTTATTGACATGAAGTATATCAATTTTACCTTCACTGTTAGAGTCTTTAATACCAGTCAGTGCCAGAGGTAAAGGTTGATGGTGTTTATTGTATACACCAGAAAGAGGCTTGTATTCACCATAAAGATGCAATGGCTGCTTCTTGAAAGATACTGCAGAGGTGGCAGAGGTACTGCTTGGACTACTGAGGACACTAGAGCTGCCATCTGAGCCTTCTTCCATTAGAAAGAGAAGAAGAAATGAAGGCCTTGAAAGGACTCTTTTTAAAAAGTTGGTTTCTTTGAGCTATCTATTGCGCATGCGCAGTTTGAGTGGCTTAGACCACGCCTACCTAGATCTACCACGCCCTGGCCAAAGCGATTTCTTAGCGAGAAATGCAATTTAATAATGAATACAATTTTCCTAAAAATAACTGCACTCCTGCTAAAATTACCAACAATATCATATAACATCATATATAATGTAAATCTAGCAAAGGAACAACAATGACACAGCAAAGAGAACAAACTATCAAAGCACAGATAAGCAAAGTTTTGTTTAACACACTAGCAAAGTTAATATTTTGGTTGATAGCTCTTTCCAAAAGCTGGAACATCACTATAAAAACCCCTATGCTCAAAAGCAACACTCAAATCCAAAGTGTCTATGTTTTCAGCAAACTTTTTCCAATATTTTTCACTGTCTTCATCCCTTCTAAGTTTTCCAAATCCTGTTTCGTACAGGTTGTTGCAGATATTAGCAGGATCGACTACTCTTGGAGGAGATGGTAGTAGAGCATTTGGGAACGGATAATCACTGTCAAATAGTATACTAAATATTTTATTATGATATTAATATCACACTAAAAATAGCTCTTACTCAATTGTTTCAAACTTCTTAACCAAGGTTTTCACGTTTTTGGTTATGCTATATAACATGAGATTAATTTTAGATAATAAATTGAGATAATTACCACCTACTCTTTTGCTAGTTGCTTTTTAAAATTTTGTCGTAGTCTTCCTTTCATATGAATTTCAAACGGCTCAGCTGCTTTGATAACAAGCAAAGACATCATGTATGAAGTTGGTTTACGGCCCCCAATAGCCTCCCAGTTAACGGTTAAGCTCCAATACTTGGCTCTCTTGATATATTCTTTGACCTAAATATGGTTCTAATCATTACCTTTTTCAGCCAATTAATAATCATACCCTGAGAGTCTGATGGCTCATAAATTTTTTTTGCCATTTTGCAGCTCCTGCTGACAAACTACAATGTATAAAAAAGTACAAAGATGTACAGACAAACAGACTCTGAGGCTTACTGAAAAAATTCCGTAGGGCAATTTTTAGATACATACTGTGACAATTCAACAGGACTACCCCACATTGGTGATATCAATACATCAACATCAATAGTATTGTCAGGTGAGAATTGATACTTAAATTGGACTGAATTTTCTGTCATTTTGTCGGCAATATAGTTCCCTTTTAAGTGAACTTTTACGCATTCCTGAAGATCTGAAAGGAATTTTTTCCTCTTATCTCTGTCACGTAACTTGTCAGCCGTTAGACCTAAAATTATAAAAATCTATTACTGATTGCAATTGAAACAGACTGCGCATACTGGTTGAGTATATAACCAGGTCAATGTCAAACTTCATAGGAACATAAGTTCCATATCCCAATGAGCCTCCTTCAACAATTTCGCTGACAGCAATTCCACTATCAGTTCTAAAGTGTTGCTATGAACGTAAAAAAAGTTAAAATCGAATCCATCACTATTAACTCTACCTTAAGCAGAGAGCATACTGCTCGAACAGCTATAATGCTCAGCCTAACTTTTTGAGCAACTTGGCCTCTTGATAAAGTACCTACGTGTGGCATTGGGTTCGCCATTATTGCGCTGCAAAATTTGTAGCAATAATCAGCATAACTGTGTACGGTAGAGTAGATTTATAGCTGCTCCAGCTCAGCTAGCTAGATAGATGAGCTCAGCAGCTCCACCCAGAGAAGATCCACCCACGAGAAGATCCACCCACACACCTGTAGTCACGTGGTAGCAAATGGCTGCTCAACTCTTTTCCTTGCCTTATGTTAGACGAGGGATAAGGTAACAAATGATGTTGAAAAATAACAAATTTATAATTTTTGTAGGCTAATACATCTTAGCAATCCAGTCTTTAATAGTGCCAGAAGGGAAGATGTGTCCAAACTGTCAGGTAGCGAGCTGTGTACATAATTATCAACCTTATCTTTCCTTTACAGTTGCTGTTAATGATAGAATAAATGGATACAGAGTTACTAGAGTAAGAAAATATAAAGTTATTGAACTATTCCTCTCACACGCACACACACACATATATTGTACACTAGGTTACAGATGTACCTGATTTCAATCTAAAAGCTATAGAATTACTTCACGAGTCAACAAAAGCTCAACACTTGCACTTAGCAAGACAAGACTCCAACAATGTATTTGGGTATGCTATACCACCCACACACATTAATCAAAGCATCTATGCTAATACTCATAATTCCATACTCTCGTACCTAATAGTGTTGGTTTTAGAACTACACCAATGGATAGTACTGGCATATGTCATATACTGGAACACACTACATTGTGTGGTTCAGCCCATTATCCTGTAAGGGATCCATTCTTTAAAATGCTAACTCGTTCACTAGCGACATTCATGAATGCTTTCACTGGTAAGAAGATAATATTAAAGTACATTATCACTCTCTCCTACCTATTCTCTCTCTCTCTCTCTCTCTCTCTCTCTCTCTCTCTCTCTCTCTCTCTCTCTCTCTCTCTCTCTCTCTCTCTCTCTCTCTCTCTCTCCTCTTAGCAAATGATTGGACATTCTATCCATTCTCTATACAAAACTATAACGACTATCGGAATCTCCTGTCAGTCTACTGTGACTGTATGTTCCATCCTAACCTAAAGAATATGGACTTTCATCATAGTATTCATCATCAATAGTATTGTCAGGTGAGAATTGATACTTAAATTGGACTGAATTTTCTGTCATTTTGTCTGCATCTAGTGCATACAAAACGTTAAGGAAATCGAGCATAAATTTGCCTTCTCGGCGTACTCTGAGAGATTACATACACAATCCGAGACTCCAAATTGAACACTACTGCAGATTTCCAGAAAGAGGTAGCACTTGTAGCTGATGAAATGCACATTAAATAAGGACTTGTCTATGATAAGTTTACAGGTAATTTAAAATAATTCTAATAGTATTAATACTTTTTCTTTCAATAGGTGAATTGATTGGCTTTCGTGACATGGGAGACATCAATGAACATCTTCTTCAGCTTGAGAGGCAGATTGACACTAATGAGCAGAATAGAAACAACCAAGTCTTAGCTTCATCAGTACTCGTATTAATGATAAAAAGACTATTTACAAAATTAGTCTTTCCCTATGCATCTTTCCCTACAACTTCACTCACTGGAGATCAAATGGTCCCTATATTATATGAGGCCATAGTACTACGAATAGAAAAATGCGGCTTTAAAGTTGCATGCATTACTCTTGATGGTAACTCAGCCAACAGAAAGTTTTTCAAACTCATTGGAAGACATAGCTCTGAAGTAATGTACTACACCAAAAATCCATGTTCACTGACATGCAACGTTTACTTTATATCAGATCCACCTCATCTCATAAAAACCATCAGAAACTGTTTAGCAAGTAATAAAAGAAACATGGAGGTAATTTATATGTGCATGTATCACTAATAATTATTACTAATCATTTAGTTTAATGGTATGCCAATTTCTTGGAGATTTGTGAAAGACCTCTATCAAATGACATTGAAGTCTGAGGGACTTACGAGTCTACCTAAGCTCACATATGAGCACATTAATTTAACTGGTTTTTCAAAAATGAGAGTCGATTTAGCTGCACAAGTAAGGAAACATTTTCATAATCAAAAAATTGATAATTTGTTATAGGTTCTCAGTTCTACAGTCAGTATTGGAATGAAGACATTCTTACCAGATGAAAAACAGCACAAAGAAGAATTTACAGAAAGATAAAAGCTTGAGATCTAAGCTCTCGTGCTCAGCCTCCAACAGTGATGATTGATGAATAATAGTTATTATTATTATTACTAGAAACAATGTAAAACATTAAAGGGCTCAGCCTCGTAGATAATTAGCTGGAAAAAAGCAGAATCTCAACCTTAATAATGTTGCTGCTAGAAAACTCCTGACTTGTTTTTTACTTTAAGCCTTGCTACACTGACTTTAAAATAGCCATAAGATATAAAAAGGCTGGCCAGTTTAGTGCAGTCAGTGACAAAGGTGACATTATTATTATTATTATTATTGAAAAATTATAATTTTTTGGTTTGGACAAAAATAATTTTGATTGACGAAAATTTGAATTTGAAGCTATACGGTTCACACGTGTATTCACGTGACAAGTGAAAGCACGTGTATTCACGTGTGTCAGGTCACAGGCACTGTTTGGACTATAGAAATCCACATCATACAATGGCTGAAGCTGAACCTTGCTGTAAAAGACTTAAATTTGATGTTTCTTTCTTTGACGACGAGTCTGATGATGATTTCTACCACTCAGAACCTCCTATCGATCAATCCACTGCAAACCAGCTTCCTTTGATAGAAGATGAGGAATATACTAACCCGTTTGACTCCCTGCCAAATGAGGTAATACAAGAGATATGCATGATGCTCTCACTCAGAGATAAGATGTCCCTTAGATTAGTCAATAGAAGGCTCTACATGATATGTTCTGATCCCTATTTGTGGAGAAATGTTGTCATTGATGATGCATATCATAAGACAAATGCCCCATTCATCAAGTCGGCTTTACAAACATGTCGCCCACATGTACAGTCACTGAGTTTAAGGGGAGAACTACCGTTCAGTAAATATCAACGAATGATTCTTACATGTAAGAATATCC